GAGGGAGGGAGGGAGGGAGGGAGAAGCAAGGTGGGGAGGAGTCACAGCGGTTTGCCGCGGGGCGCTCTCAGCACTCCGCACGCACGCACAGTACAAACAAGACGACTTCAAGGGCCCGGCGGCCAAGAAAGCAGCGCCCCCCGCCACGCATTCACCAGGCGGGAGTCTGTAAAGTCCCCCGCAACCGCAACCGCCCGCTCCCTCTTCTCCGCGTGGAGAGGGCCGGTGGTGGCAGTAGTCGCAGTTGTGGTGGTGGCGAAGAGAGAAGCAGAGCGAAAAGAACGGCAGCCGCCGCCCCTACACCAACGGGATGTTTGAAGAGCAAAAAAACGGAAAAAGAAGAAAAAAACAAGTATCCCTTGCATAAACAGGGACGGAGAGTTAAGTACGTCACACGGCACCTACTCCCTTGGCCCCAGCTGGACGCACAGTCCTTCCACTGGATTCTACAAGACGGAAACAACAAAAAACAGTGACAATAGTAAAATGTGGGTAACACCTGCAGCAGCATGCCGTGATGGCGTCACCACATGCCCCCAGCTCCTTCCAGGCATCAGAAACAACGCATGGGCCCTTGGTTTGTACTCCGCTTGCACACCGAACCCACCCGCAATGCATCCCTAGGGCAAGGGCGATGATGCATCCTAGAGGGGAAAAAAGAAGAGGGCAAAGTCAAACCAAGCCCCCCCTCCAATCAATCAGCCACCAGTCACGATGCCATAATCCCTACAGCCGGGGCACGCGTCCAGAACAACAACAACAACAAAAAAAAAGACCTGCCAGCCCACAACGCCAGCAAACTCTGCTATCCTTCGCAATGCAGAGAAAAGTGAAGTGTGTTCGCCCTTTCCTCCCCATCCGTGTTATCCTTCCTCGCCACACCCAGCCATGCGCCGCACGCAAATTGAGGCACGACGCCGTTAGGGGCGAAAAAGCCAAGATGCGTAAAGGGAGGCGTCGAAGGAGGTGGTGCAAACAAAGCAAAAACAGTTTTTTTTTTTTTTAAGAGATAGAGAAAGAGAGACGAGACAAGCAGAAGGAAGCTCCTGGCCAACATGACCACCGACGCCGCCACCACGCGTTTTATTCATTAGTTCTCTCTTGAAGCGGTCATCACCTGGAGACGCGATAAAGGCAAGGCAAAGGGTTGCCACCTACTTCGAAACCGCTCTCACCTCCCAAAACTTCACTCGCCCGCGAAGGCACAGGGAAACGAGAAATTGGTTGCGCCCAGCCCCGCAGGCAATACAGCGAACGGTATGGTCAGTGTGCAGCGTCACAGCAGCGGATGGCTCAGCTGAGATGCAATCGTCTAACCGCTGCGGGATAACGCACGCACCGTTGGCGTCCTGGTGAAAGCACCCATGAAAACACTCCTGAATGTGCGGTTCGACGGTGTGAAGCGGTGTGGCATCGGGGGCATCGGCAGAAGAGGCCGCGTCCTCACAGCAGAGAGGCCAGAAGGAGCTGCGACCGTCGTACGAGGTGGCAACCAACAGGTGACCGCGTGACGGAAGCGGCAGGGCACAGAGGTCGCCCACCCAAGAGCGATGAAAGCATCGCCGCGCAACACGCACAACGCCATCCTTCACAGCCTGCGAATACGCGACGAACGACAGTGTCTGCAGGACAGGCGACATTACTTCTAAATCCTCCATTAACAGCGCCTTGGAGGCCCGGTTTGGTCTGCCGCTGCCGTTTTTGTTCCTCCCGCCGAGGTGGGATAGCTGGTACACCGTGATGGAGTCGTCCTCGTTGGTGGCGACGAGAAGGTCCGGGCAGAGGGCGGCGTCGGCGTGGCTGGGGATCCACTGCACGGCCAAAAAGCCTCCAGCGGAGTTGTTTTCAAAAGCGGTGATTTGACAGAGCTCGGCCTCAATGTCGAGCGCCTTGACTAGGCGCAGCGTTCCGCCGTTGCAGGAGATCGCCGCAATACCGCCGTCCTCACCCGCAAGGAGAGTTTCCGCAGTCACACACGTCACACTCGCAGGGAAAGACCCCTTCTCCCGCCGTCTCTCTGGCGGTGGTGGTGGTGCCCAAGCAACAGGCATTGCCGCTGCATCTTCAGACCACAGCCGCTTAAGAAAGTGCGGCAACTGCATCGCTATCGCCTGCACAGGCCTGTGTCCAAAGGAAGAGAGAAGTCGGCTTAGCCAGGCCCCCTCCAGCGTCACACATACAAGCAGCACCTGCCCATTGGCGAATCCAACGGCAAACACGGAGGGCGGGAATCCCTCCGTGTTCCCGAATGGAGACGTAAAACCATTTCCATCCCGCGTCCTACGCATCCCAGCACGCTCAAACATTAGGGTCAGAAGTTTTTCCAGCCCACATTCCAGTTCTGTGATGCACGAGACTGGAACATTTACAACCTGCTTGGGCGTCACACTGGCGGCATCCCCGCTGCTTCCTCCGCTTACCCCGCCTGCAAAATTAAGACGCTGCACAACCTTCCGCTCAAACATGCTAAAGATAAGCAAATCTCCACCTTGGTTTCCAATCAGTATAAACGGTTCTACCGCAATGCACTCTGTCGCAACCGCCATCGCATCCCCGTCGTCGCCCCTCGCCCACGCTGCTCGATTTCGCTCAAGTAAGAGTTCTATTCCCTCTGGTGATCCCTGCGCCGTGAGATTTGCAGGCTTGCGAAACATAAAACTATTGCTTGGCTCTTTTGGCTCGCCACCGCGCAGTGTATGCTGCGCTGCGTCGATGGGAAGGCCAGGTGGCGTGTACGTCTCACCCACAGTCGTGCCAAGAAGAAACGGGCAATGCGCAGTGATCCTCCGTGGGGTTAACGAGGCCACCAGCGTCTGTAGCGGAACCGCCGCCAGCACGCTTCCTCCTTGGTGTTTGACGGCGTACGTGGTGAGGTGGTTAAAGCTGCTGGCCGTGACCAGTGTCAGCTGCACCGGGGCACTCTCCAGCGGAGGCTCCTCAGGAGGAGAGAACGGAGGCTGCGGCCTCGACCGTGGCGCCGCCGGAGTGTTCTTTTCTGCCCTGTCGCCCTCTTCCCCTGGACGTGTGCCGTTGGTGCTAGAGACAACACCGTCCACCGGACTGGTTGCGCGGGGAGCGCAGGAGGGCGTTGCGACGGTCTGCGGAAGGCCAAGGAGCAGCCCACTCATTCGCGGCGAGGTCTGCACGTCGTGGATTCCGTCAGGAAATTGCTGAAGATGCCTCAAGGAGGCCGCTGGAGCTGCTCTGGGGGGGACAAAGCACGCCGGCGTCTTTGGACTGCACAGGGAGGACAACTTCGGTGTAGCACCCGCTGCCGCCGCCGCCGTTGCCGCCCGGGCGTCGAAGAGGTGGGAGCCACGCTTCCACACCACACGCAGCAGTGGCCGACACGTGCCGGCTCCGCTGTCGCGGCTCCGCTGAGTGGGCGGGTCAACGACGAGTGTCTCGTCTGGCGGCAACGTGAGGCTGCGCAGCGAGGGATTCCGCAGCTCCACAAAGGCTCCATAGACACTCGCATGGGGCGTGTTGGAGTTGGCGACCGTTGGATACCCGGTGGAAGTGTAGGCCTCCGAGAGTGCATTCACCAGGGTCACCCTCGCAGCAAACTCCATCTCCGTCGGGGCCACGCCCGCTGCGCCCAAACCCGACGACGGCGGCGGAGCATGGCGTCCCCTGTCTGCCGTGCTGGCCTTGTCCCGAGCTGTGCCGGGAGCGGCGTGGGCGGCGTCCCCCAACTTCACCCGAAAGCTTGTCGCCTCTTGCCGTGAGGCGTCGCTGCTGGGGGCAGCGGCGACAGGCAACTCAGGCATGCGCGCGTGAGGGACCCAACGCGTGTGCGGCGTACAGTGCGATCCCGGCGGTGTCGCTCCTCCCCCGGCTCGCCCGCTCTCAGAGTGGCTCCGTTGCCTTTTATTTTATTTTGTTTTTTTATTTTTGCTTGCCTTTTATTTTCTTCTCTTGCCTCCTCCTCCTCCGCTGCCTTCCACCACCCACCGCTCCCCGGAAGATGATCCGCTTGAAATCTCCGCGGGCTCAGACACACAGGCAGACAGACAACAATAAAAAAAAAGGAAGCACCCGCGAGGCCGCTGCGCGCAGCACATCCCATCACCTGCGGAAAGGCGAAGGAAAAGTGAAACGGAAACAAAAAAGCGCGGACTGCCAACACGTAAAGACGCAGGCGTCATTAGGTGCAAAAAAATTCCCCGTCTTCTCTCCCTCCTGTCGTCGTCGTGTGGGCTGCGGAGCCCCTCTCTCTCTCTCTCTC